TAACATAGGTCTTTATGCCCTATCGGTCATATCCTATTAATTCATAACTCAATGATTTAGCAATGTTGGAGAAGACACGAGCTCTGACCATGATCATAATTTAATGGTGTCATTTGATGGCAAAACCATTCGGTTAGAGGGTCTCGGTCATAACCGTTTACCTATGGTGCCATTTAGCGGCGAAACCATCAGCTAGAGGACATGTGTCATGTCCTTACTGGAAAGAGATGGATTGAGAATGAATCATAGTGATGTTCTCGACAAGACATTAGTTCTTTGTGAACTAAAGTAATTTTCAAAATTTTTTACTCGACAAACTGTTACGGATGGTGGATGAATTTTTCTTTAAGTTATTTAAGTGTTTTAACTTAATTTTAAATATTTATATTGTTGATAAAGAAGGATTTTTTATGTCTTTGATGGGTTTTTGAAAGTTAACATTTTCGGTTGAAATTTACATTCAACCCAATCATTATCGGGATGAAGTCAAAGTCATTTTAAATGCTTATATTTTATAGGAATTTGGGAGGCATTTGAAATATTTGGGGTCCTCTCTGTTTGAGATTTTAAGTCAACATGCCCATCATCAGGGTATTTATGAGCAATTTCATTTTTTCAGTCGAACCTTGTCGACTCTGTTTACTTGCCAACAGAGGATCAGTTTCATCGCTAGATTGATACCTGTACTAATGATTTTTTCTTGTAACAGACCTTGAAGGCTTAATATGAACGTATAAAATAAAATCCCGGTTGACGCTACGACCATGTATTTGCTTGACGGTTCAAGCTATGTCAACTCCTATCAATTCACATAGAAGGATCAAGCTTGATCTTCAGTTCATTCTTTTGACTCGCGTAGCATCCTCAGAGGTCGTGTGTATGCATAAATTACGCTCTTCAGGGCCCTTATGGGTATATATTGTTGAATGCATTTTGCATGATGCATTTATATGATTATTATATGTATGCATGATATTGTTGGAATGAAGCCCTCTATATATTGCAAATGCATACGGAATGTTTGATTGTTGTTGTTTGTACGAATACCATAATATTTTTTGCATGCTTTTTGTACCTGTCTGTAGGTAGTGTTATCATTTGCAAGTGTTGATACGAATTACTTGCTACTTTCCATAGGTAAAATGCTGCGTACATCATAGGTTTTTCAATGATGCATGTAGGTACTTGCATTTACTATAGCTCTCTATATTTTGCCTGTAGATAGCATATAATATGCATGGCGGGTCCCCCACAGTAGTTTATGGGTGCTTGCATTTGATGCAAATCATCCACTTTTGCTTGCGAGGGATTAGTGTATTGGCTTGTCATTGAGTGATTGTCGATTGTAGGAAGGATTTGATATCTGTTGCATATCAACTATTTTTGCTTATAGGATATCGGTGTAATTGTCCAGGTTATTTGATCACCAGTGACTACATGAAGCTCCTAGCATTCGCGGCATACTACACATACATGCCCATAGGCAATATTACCACTTGCAAGTAAATCTTATATGTTCCATTGCATGTCAATGTGGACGACCAGTTGAGCTGCCATTCATCATTGTTCATCAACCATTTGTTGTTGACTGCAGGTAGGTTTGTATATTCATCTGCATGTTGACATCGGCTGTCAAAACAAAACAACGCTGCTTTTTTCCCTACATGGTTCTTGCACATGTGGGCTGCATTTAATGCAAGTCTTTCAGACGTACTTGCAGAGGGGGCCATCATATCTTTTGTCAGCATTTGAAGAGATTTAAATGTGTTTGTTTGCATATTAATTGTATGCAAGCTGCAAGCTACACTTTCTTTGAGTTATGCAAACGCATCTTGATTGGTCACTCACTTCATGATCAATTATTGTTATTTGCATGGCTGAGTATGCTTGTAGGGCATTGTTGTTGTTGAATGCTTGGACACCCTAATGTATGTTGCGCGCCACATGTACACGTCTATAGGTAGCATCGTCACTTCGCAAGCAGGTTCTATGTGTTCATTTGCATGTAAATGACATGGGCTACCAGTTGAGCTGCATTCATCACTAATTTTCCAATATATGTTAGCTAACAAGTTGTTATATCCTTTGTCATTACTTATAAGCGAGTCAATGCGCTTGTTTGTCAACAAAACCTCTATCGATTACAAGCAAGGTAATATATTTATACACGTTGACACCAGCTGTCAATCAACATTAAATTCTCTACCACTACTTACGGATAGGATTGTTATATGCATTACAAGCTCCCTGCTATTATCTACAGGAAAATTATGTTGGATGCTTATTTTCTACTACTGTTTGCAAGTGTTCATATTTGAAGCTGGTTATAAATACTTATTTGCATATGAATTATCACATCATAAGCCCCCTAATTTGTACTTCTGCTGCAATGCTTGCAGGGAAGTCATTATACTTGTGTCATGTCTACCATTATCTTTCATAATTGGCTTGACGTACTTATTTGCAGTAGTATTAGTTGCATGCAAGCTGTTGGTGTTGACTATAAGACAATGTTGCATTCAATACCTGTTGTCAGCAATCATCTTTATTTGGTATGTTGTGTGCATGATAGACCTTCTACTACTTCTTGCAAGGGTCACCGCTTCAATCTACAAGCTGATTGTTGCTTGCATATAAGGTCTTTCTGAGTTGTATGTAGCAGATGCTTGTGCATTTTGTGGTTGGCCTTTGATTGCAAGTTATTCATGTCTAAAGGTCTCCCGCCATGAGTTCCCTATTTGTCGATTTGTATTCGCTTATGTATTAAATTATCATTTATCATTTACATTTTTAGTTTAATTGTACATTTTAGAAATTAGGGTCTGGTTTTCTGTTATTCTATTTGCAAGTTCTATTCCCTATCATTTAATTTGAATTAGGTCCCCTATTGTTCATTTAAATTTTGTGCATATTTATTCCGAATCTCGGCAACACCCCAACATCTATTTCGTTTAGGGGAAATTTGGGGAGCCTTAGCCTTCCCGCCAAATCAAGAAAGACATGCACACTTAGTGTCAGGTGACACCGCGGCCGTAATCTTCAATCGCACCACAAAATTGAAGGCGTCCATGGGTTTTCAGGGGTACCTATTTAAAATGCACAATTCTGACCCCCCAAGCACTCAAGTTCATATAAAGGTACTTAAGTTTTTGCCTAACCATGCTAAGAAAAGCATGCACAATGATTACCTGCCTCGTTGCAAACACCGCGATGAGCTTCCATCTACCGTGCTAAGAAAAGCACGCATAGGTGGTTGCTCGCCGCGCTACAAGCGCCGAGGACATGATTTGAATTATACCTTCGTGATCGGGTATAGGCGAAGTGTCAACGATATTTGTGCTGATGGCTATGTCGAGATAGAGGGCATGTGGATTGAGGACCATAGATTTTTTTTTATATTCCTTTTTTTCTCTTCTTCTCTTTTTTTCTTTTTTTTTTCTTTTTTTTGACAATTAATTATAATTAATAAAAATTAATTATAATTAACTATAATTAATTATAATTAAAGATAATTAATTACAACTAATAATAATTAATGATAATTAATTATAATCATTAATAATTACTTATTACTAATATAATTAATATCAATTAACTATAATTAGCAATTATTAATTATAATTAATGACATATAATTAACAATGCCGTTGCCAGGTCCCGTCCTAGATGAGAAAAGTTAAGGGTTGCGTTAGGTAGTCGATAGCCAGTGTAAAACTTGTTGAATAATTATGACATGAATCCTTAAAAAATTGTGTTATAACAGGACATAATGGATAAAAAAGATTCATGTAGCTGACCCCACGTAGTGGGAGAAAGGCTTGATGTTGTTGTTGTAATAACTATTAATTATAATTAATTATAATTATCAATGATTAATCATAATTAATTAACTATTAATAATTATAGTTAATAATAATAAATTATAACTAATAATAATTATTTATAATTTATTACAAAAAAATCATAAAAATTTTACCTGCTGTAGGGGTTTAGTCGGGAGATGTCCTCAGGGAGAAGGGAGGTGGAGCTTGTGGAGAACGTCGGGATCTACTTAGGGAGCTCGATGCAAGTGGGCTCGATGGAAGGGATCGAGAGCTAGGAAGGTTGGCATCGGGTTTAGAGCAAGGAGGTTCGCCAGCAGGTGGTCAGACAAGTGAGGTGAAGGCTCAGAGTCGAAGCAGCTTATTGGAGTCGGGCGAAGGCGCTAGAGCAGGGTGAGGGGCTCGGATTTTGCAGCAACGTGCGGGATTCAGTCCGCTATAGGGAGAGGATCGTCGACGGGATGAGCTGGATCGATCAATGGGCTAAAACCGTCGAATGGGGTGAAGACCGGCGATCTCTTCGAGTGAGCTGGGCCAATTGATGGATATAAGTCGAAGTAGGTGCAGGATTTAAGTGTGAGGAAACAGAAACGGGAAGCCTCATTTCTTCCTCATTTTAACGACGAAGGCAGAGAGGTCGTGTGAAGCATGGCCGGAATGGAGATCGTGCGAAGCTTGTCGCATAACATGCTGTCTGACGTCCGAGTTGCTGGCTATGCGGGATTTGAGCGGCGTTCGTGCTGAGAGAGATGTGCAGTTGGACAGATATTTGTGATTTAAGCAATTTTTTTTTGTGTTTAGATCAACATTTTGTTTAATTATATTCATATGCAAATTGTAACCACCTGAAGAATGATATTTTCCGGATGAAAAAGGCAAGAGTGAAAAACTAATGGTATGCAAGTGAGTGAAAGTCAAATAATTATATTCATAATAGTTTTTTTTTTATTATATTCGTTATAGTTTTTTTTTTAATTATATTCATAATAGAGCTTTTCTTGGGGGAACATTTAAAACTAATGAAAGTCAAATAATGTCCCCCCAAAAAAAGCTCTAATAAATGGCCACTTATTCATATGAAATAACAACCCAAACGAGAAGTTTAATCTTGAAAATAAAAAATTTTATCAAGAATATAGAAACACTATTTGAAATGAAAGTCAGCGGTCAGCCAAAGACCTTTAAAAAGAGCCTCTTGTCATGCCCAGTAGCTGCAACCCTTAGGACAGACTCTGCTGCTCCTATTGTATTAGCCAAACAAGCAGCAAGGCTATTGGAAGTATCCTGAGATAATTGCCATTCAAGGGGATCAACTGGTACCCTTCAAGAAATAAAAAAAAAAGAGAGGTAAACAAAAAAATCTGATGACTGTCTCAGATGCATCATTTGAAATTAATTTCTACTGAAAATAATAAGTGAATTTGAATATCAAGTTTGTTTTTTACAAAGTAATAAATGAGATGGAGTATTTAAAGAAAAAATATATCTTCGGTTGAACCTGAAGACAGAAATTTGGGATCCTACAAAAAAATTTGGGAGTTGGGACACACTAGCTTTGTCACAATAGACTCCCCTTGGCAAGCAAGACTGAACTATTCACTGGCACTGGATAACAGTATCCGGCCGGCAGAGAGATGCAATATGGGCTTTTCATCAAGCAGATGAAGAACAAATGCAGACTCACTTCGAGTGAGTCCAGTTAGTGTTGCATAATCCCCTGAAGTTAAATTCATACTTAATAGATCTCATGATCATTCAGAGAAGGGCTTGAGCAAACAATACTCACAGGATGTCTTCCAGAGTAATAAAACTAGGGGATTCATTTGTTATCACAGCATGTTTGGCAGTTCGGTTGTATGCAAAATCCTTGAAGCTGTCAATCTGTTCCCAGGTTAACAGAGAAGCATAAAAAATAAATAAATGATAAATTCTTAATAGAGGTTTCATGTGGGAAGCAGACGTAAGATTTGATTCATGAATTTTATAATCTTCAATTACCAACCAACCAGATAAGGATGTTCATGGCTTTTGGTTTCAGGACAATTGCTTCTATATCCATCAATTCAATAATTTAAGCATGTAGTCAAGGGAATAGTGCACAATTTCTACATTTATTCATGCATTTCCAACCTTTGAAGAGATAGTTTATACCAAGAGGCCTTCCAAGCATTGGTTCAGCCTAATCGAACAGGTTTCTGGATATTTAGGTGTACATTATTGTTGAGAAAATTAGAAGTGAGATACAATGGGCTAACTTAAACAATAGATTTTTTGCTCTGAGCTTTTTAGGCACAAATAAGGATTCATATGTAGCTACATACAAAAATTACAACAAGAAAACTTTGGAAAGAAAAGAAAAAGCTATAAAATTCAAGAGCTACGGTGGCTAGCTACCCCTTAAGAGCTTGTTAGGCAAGAGGAGACTTGGTTAAATTCTTCATCTTGTGTAACTACTTGTTAAGAGTTGGCCTAATTCCTCCTATCTTAAATAGGAAATTAACACAATTTAAAAAACTTAACAATTCTTAAAAGAATTCACAACTAAAATCATTTTCCCTCTTCTCTCATTCAAGTGGATTCAAGTGGGAGGCTACCTCACTTTATCTGTAATGACGGAGAAACATCAAGGGGAGTGAAAAAATAAAGTTTCCAAGGCTTTGCAAGACTGATCATCCTCTTCGTCATGGTGAGAGTTGGACATTCTAATTTTTTTCTTCTGTTTCTTTAACACTGCTTGAATCCTCTAATACCAAAAGCTTCCAGCAATGGAACTAGTTTAATCTCACCACCTTGCCACTAGGATTGCAATTAAAAATCCCTAAGCTCTATTAGACTTGTTGAAACTCCTCATTAGCATCTAAGCTAGTCTAAAGACTACATTATTAATAAACTCTATTATTAAACCTCAAACATAGAAAAGTAAATTTCCTCTCTAATTTTAAAGGTTTCAAATAACTCTCTAAATTTTTGAATCAATATGGTCGGTACATCTATCTTTTCTTCACAACAAAAGGTAAGCAAGAAGTGATAATCGAGATAAAAATTCCCATATCAAGATTAAGCATACATTAAAAAAATAAATGACATTGTATTTGATGAATATTAGAAACAAGATTAATTGTAAAAGAATAAATATCTTTAATTTACAACCACAAATGATTGATAAAGACAGCTAATATCATCCTGTACAATGCCAATTTCTAGGTTGTTATTATCTAGTACATGTGTGACATATTAAGATATTCAATAATATTAAGAACAAAAGAATTTACATAATTGAATGAAGCCATGATCAATCTCCTATTCACTTCATAATTTATATTTACGTAGAAAAAAATCAACTTTAGGCTTTTCTTTTTAAAGAGATTCAACGCTTCAAATGATAAGCAATACAAATATAACAAAACATGTAATGTTTATGGATTCCCTAATGAAGATTAAATCTACTTAAAGCAAAATCGGTGCTAAAATTAAGCATGTGAAATTCATGAGGAAGCCAGCAAACAAGCAACTACATATCAATTAAGACGAATCATAGAAAAATTAGTAAAATCTGAGTGAATTAGTGATAAATTAACCAGAAGAAACAAGTCAATAGAACTTGAGATCATACAAGAACCACATCAAATCAAAAGTTCATGCATATAATTGAAATTAAGATATATGGAAAAACTCGTGAAATCCAATCACACTTCCAACTAACAAAAAAATTTAGATAAAGAGGTAATGCAAATCTCAAAGCTTATATTCATTAAAAAAAGCTAGACGTGTGTGATGAAACAAGCAGATTGACAATTCAAGCATTGACTTTAGTTGATCTAATTTTAGCAGTTTTTTTATTTATCTTTTAGATTTCAATTTTAGTTTTTTTCATGTCTGACAATCCCTATGACTTAGATGAAGATACAACCAAAAACGGTTAGAATGGAAGCGTAAACTTTTGATAGTCAAATATATACGAAGGCATTTTCAATTGGGTGATGGATATGGATAATTTCTTTAAACGACAAGCAATATCAGGTGAACATCAATTAGATTTGCTAAATTGAGAATAACTGGGCAAGCTAAAAATGTATTAGATGAGTGTGGCAAAATAAAAGGAAAAGTTGAGTAAAGAATCTACAACTATTTTGGTTGAAATGAAATAAGTTTTTAAGGAAAAATATCTGCCATTGTCATATCATGATATAGATTGCTTGATAAATTTAATGCCCTAAAGCAAAAAAAAAAAACTATCACAAAAAATATGAACAAATTTGAGGAATTACTGTTCTGTACTGAAATCATTCAAGATTTGAAAATTGAAACTTTCATGTTTATATGTCGATTATGACTTTTGACAAAAATAAAGAGATAAAACCTCATCCCATTCCCTCATTTGAACATACTTTCAAACATGCCTTAAAGTTTGAACATTTGTTGAAATCTCCTACAGCTAGGAGGTTTACTACATATCAAAAGCCTTGTCTATGTTTCAAACCTATTTCAAGCATGATGATAGAATTTGCAAGCTTATCATAGATAACTTGAATTGAATAAAAATTGTTACTAAATTAACTATTAATGGCATAAGTAGAAATTTGAATCACACTGCATCCGTATAAATTAGCTTGACTAGATAAGACCACAATTTTTGTAAAATAAAGATGTTTAGCACCCATTCAAAATGATATATATAGTGATAGATCATTCGACTATATAAAATTGATTCAAAATAGTCTCTCATGTTGTAATTGTGATATAAACTTAATCTCAATTTAGTCCCTCGACTATATAAAATTGTTCGCAATTTAGTCTGAAAGGAATCATTTTGGAACAATTTTATATAGTCCCGAGATTAAATTAGAGCAACGTTATACTCTAGGACAAAAAATGACCATATATATGAATAGTTGGGGTATTATTTTGAAATTTAACCCCAATTGTGAAGGTGAGTGGATAGTAAAGCAATTAATAAGATTACCATAAAATATTGATTTTTTATGGCTAGGTCAGATAAAATGTTGAATATAATAACTAGAGCTATTATCGATTCAAAACTTATTATGAGAAGTGATTATCAATAGGTAAGAAAGCAAGAGGGAGATGAATGAAAAATTGCTTTTAAAAGAAAAAATGGATAGTATGAATCATATGTAATGACTTTTCGATTAACTAAGACACAAAATACTTTCATTAGAACCATAAATAATGTACTTCAGCCTTTAAATGAAGAATGTTTGATTTTGTATTTTTATGATAAATTGATTTATAGTAAAACTAGATGGAATAACTAGAAGCAATTTTAGGAAGGAATTTAAAGTAATGCAAATAAGAATTAATATATAAATATGAAGAAATATTTTTTGTTACGTCATCTTTTATAATTCTTGGGATTTGTTATATCAGTTGATAGACTATACATCTTGAACTTGATAAAATTAAAGAAATTAATAATTAGCAAACACCAACTAATATTCATAAGATTTAGAGTTTTTAAGGGATTTTTATATTTTATAAATGGTTTATTAAATAGTTTAGTATTAAAATGACATCAATTATCAGTTCTCTTAGAAAGCTAGAATTTAATTGGACAAAATATTTTAATTATAGTTGCAATGATAAGGAGGCTTACACATGCTATTGTACCTAGAGTGATAGATTTCAATGAACTGATTGTAACCTCATGTCATGAATCAAGTGGGAGGTGTTGAACTCATGAGCCTGATGTACACTAGTGTCTTGATAATTATAAAAATTATTAGTTATCCTAATCACAGTTTGAAAAATATGTGCAGGAAAGTAATTTTAATATTAATAATGCAGAAAGCACATAAGTGACAGATTCAGGGTGAGGACTTGAAAAATTAAACACGAAGAAAATCCGTAAATATTAAAAAAGACCAAGAATTAAATGTCTATAGATTTGTAATTTGTATTTTTTATTTTCTCGAGTCTTTATGTATGTTAGCATAAAATATGTTGAATGATCACACGCACATAAGGGGAGGTACAAAATTAAATAGAGTTCATTAAAACATTTGATTCTCTACTTAATCATATTGTATTGTACTGTTTAATATGAAGGAAATTTTGTAAATTCTGAAAATTAAGTAAGAATAATTTAAAAAAAAATATTGAAAATTTGCATAACTAATCATACAGTATGATACAGATTACATAGAACGATCAGCTATTCAAATCCAAACCATTAAAATTCTGAAATTTATAAAAATATATAAATTCAAAATTTGAATTGTTTGTGGTAGACAAATTATTGATACAAAGTAGTAGATATAAACTGTGAAAGAACATTTTTATGGTGGAAGTAGACCTTTGAAG